TTTTAAATATTCCATTTCTAAATGAGGCTGTATGAAAACAGAACAATTCTGTCACACACCGGGAAGTCCTACAAGGACGACAATTCTGAAGGTACAAAATGCAAGTGGGTTACTTGCACAATATTAACATCACTGTGATATATTTCGTTTGGTTCACAATTCTTTTAAGACACCTGTTCTGAATTCATACCAGCAGAAGACTGTGGTCGCGTTTCGAAGTCGGGTCACAAGTAAATAATTCAAAACTATGATTTATTATATGGATGAAAGTGGGTCAATTAATATTCTTATATTACCCTGCATATTTAGAAAAAATCTTAATAAATCAGCATGCATTAAAGAACAGAGTAAAGCTGTAAATTCTTATCGGAATCGAACAGGTTGTAACAGTTGCTATCCTTATCTTATCATTAAAATTAGAGCAACAGTTGTTCCTGTTTATATTCATAAAATATATGCAGAATTTAATGATTATTTTATTATCAGTGTTTTAGTTTCTTAGTCTAGAGCCTAGGAAAGAAACCAGTGTAATTATAAAGCTCATACATGACGTGATTTTAAGCGAAAATTATTTTGATATGTTACTAAATACATCGTACAAAAATGTAACCCACACGCGCACGAGATATCCTTGCATGCAACATCAGATTTGATTTCCAGTTTCAAATAAGACTCACTCGTAACTGGCATACAAGTACATCGCGCTGTTACAGTAAAGAACTGCATGAAACAGAGATTCTGTTTGTTAATAAGAGAAACATTTCTAGCGAGCGCACGTGGAGGACGCACAGATAAGATAGTGCAGATGAGCGTTGGAGGGGTGAGTACATCGCCCGCACTACGGCGAACGTAAACACAGCAGTCTCACTTTCATGAGCAGTTGGTGTAACCAAACAAATCTTGCGGTAGGTTTTAAACAGAACATCCAGACACTCCAGTTCTTGTCCTTAGTATTCACATTGCTTTAGAACTTGTGTTTCGTCGATTATTTAATTAGCATTATGAAGGAAAAGTCAATTTCCTATATCAGGATATGTACATAAAGAGAAAACAACCGAAAATCTGCAACTTCTAGCCTTAGGTAAATAAGGTAAGGTACAGCTATCCCTATAACAGGCCGTGGAGGGGTACAGAGTTGTGAGACGTCGAGACTCACATATTTTGTAGACAATCAGCTCACAGATGGTGGTGAGGTTGTGAGCCTATCGCGCCGGCCGCCTTTTAACTTCCCCCCCCCCCAGGAAGATTTCTGGTACTCATTTCTGTTAGAGGCTGAGTCGACCTCAGGGCCATAGTGAGGTCAATTGAAAAATTCAATGACATCGGGAATCGAACCCGGGACCTTCTGGCTTATAGAATAGTGCCTCAACTAACTACGATACCGTGTGCCCCCTAGTTCTAGATTACAGACACATTTAGTAAACGATTTAAAACGACATCATGCATTGTCCTCATTAATACCAGAGGAAAGACATTTTATATATTGTAGTTAGTCACACGCTTACGCAAGAGAATGTCAGTTTTATAGTGCGAATAAGGTCAAGGTTATTCGGAATGCGAACTGTTGTAATATGCAGAGAACAGTTACATTACAGAGTAGGGCTCTGGTATGTACTAAATAACCAAATGGTCGCGCCATAGCTCAAGTGGTTAGTCGCTGGCTTCCCACCGCGGCGGTCCAGGTTCCATCCCGGGTCTGGTCAAGTGGGATTTGTGGTGGACAAAGTGGCGCTGGGGCAGGTTTTCTCCGAGTACTTCGGTTTCCCCTGCCAATCTTCATTCCACCAATTGCTCCACAATCACCCTCACCTATCACCTGGGGCTGGTACAATAGGCCAGAAGTGGCCGCAGCACAAGGGACTTAGTCCCACCCCACTAGCAATAAAAAGAGTAACCAAATAATTTTCCTGGAATTACTTTTGCCCATTAGTAGCTGATGAATTTAAGTTAAAACACTACGCTACCGTTGTTTATAAAATGTGGCCCATATACAAATATTGTCGCGTGTTGCCTAGGTAACGCGACAAGTAAATTCACGTGGGTCTCGGATTTGGCTAAGATGTTTGCTGGACAATCTTCTCTACACTCACAAGGACATTTATCCATAACTTCACTGTTACAAGTACTTGCACCGCTGATCTTGGTGAAGTCTTCTCAGTGTCTCGTTGTAAAGTGGTCTCAATTCCGACCTGATCTTCCTTTATACCCTACTGTCGGACGGACTCTAAGACACCTTGTTCAATGGTTCCGTTTCACGCGTTCTTTCCGCCGGTAGCCAGTGTTCTGTTTCGTTGTAGCGGTAACTTCATTAATTAGGTAGCGTATTCTCTCGTTCTTACGAGTTTTCCTAGCCGTTGTGATGCAACTGCCTCGAACAATTCTTTGCTAGCGTTCTGATTCAAAGACGTTGCAGCGGGAACTCTTATCGTTGCCTAGGAAATCAACCCTGATGTCACTAAAGCATTCCGGCTTCCTGGTGCCACGCCACAATATTAACTGAACAAGTTCTCTACAAATAAATGCGGGAAAAGTTGAATTGATATGAAATATCACACGAAGAACTTCCAGTGAGCTTTTAATGGCGTTGATTCGATTATAATCAAAAGTAATGCAACTTTCTCTCACTTTACTCAGGTTCTTCTGAATAATTCGTTAACGTATTTAAAACAGAGCACGATGCTTCTCACTTTACTGCAGTTTTACGAACCCACAAAGTCACAAAAGCAGCATCAGGAGAAAATGATAGGAGATCAAATATTTTTTTTGAACAGCGCAGCAAACAGAAGCAATTGCGAGATATATTAGATCACGTTGGTGTATGTTGTGTCAAAGTGTGACAAGGGCAAAAGGAGAGCCCCGGAGTTTTTATCTACCACAAACTGTACGAGGAACGATCAGATTTCGAACCCAGTCAGCTTGCTCAGGAAGTCTGCGATATAGCCATAAGATCACATTCTGCCTCTTTATATCTTGAATAATTAGGAAACGCAAATGATTATACTAAACAATCGAATTGAACGCATCTTTGAGAATATGAAACCTTACTTTGTACTATAGCCAAAGATAAAGATTAATTCTGATACATATTAGGCTGATATTTTACAGGTGTTAATCACAGAAAGGTGGGATTTGCTCTATTTAAAATACGATTTTTATTATAGGGGTTATGCCTCGAAATTGGAATTTATTGAAATACGCGGTCACGTAACCCTCTTCTCTTGTCTTGATCTAAATGGATTAGCCCGAATTAATGGGCTTTTCCTCTACTTCGTTGATTTTTATTTGAAGATTGAGACAATGCGAGATTCTTAAACGCTGTAGACATAATCTCTAGTCCAGATAAAATCTATCAAACCCATCTTCCCCACGACACAATTAGAACGTGTCACAAACCTTTAGAACAAGTTTTCAATCGCGTTTATTACGAAACTCTATGCCGTGTTTCAGTGGAAAGTGTATATGCTATGATCAGTCCTCGAGTCAGAGTCAAAGTCAGAGTCAGAGTCACGTTGCAACTGACAGTCAGTCAGTCTGTCTGTCTTGGTGCCAGATATTGCTCTTGAATGAAAGTTACTGTCTTGTCTATGTGTAGCGCCCTCTCTGACGAGAGGTCGGGTCTGTCATTTGTCAGTCAGTCTGTAGTATTAAGTCCATTGTCTGTATGTACACATATTTACAATACACACTTATTTCTTATTTAAATGTACAATATATACACGGCCTCCATCAGTCCAGGCTAGGTACAGCAGATTATGCCCTTCTATATAAATAAATATCCTAGTAGTATTAGCTATCACGGCAGTCTAGTCACTTGAACGGTCGTATGCCTGACCGCCGCCAAGTTTAAGCCTCTTATACTTTCTGTGTCTGGCTTCGCCTTGCCCGATGTTGCGAACATTGTCATTATTATGATTTTGTATGACTTCTGCTTGTTGCCTGCATAATTTTGTTATGTAATCATACACGTAGGGAATTTTGAATGCCATGTGCAAATCGCGGACCGGTGTCAGTCCTCGAGATACTGTGTTTCTTTTAAATAAGATTCAGTTCCTACCTCACAGGAAACACATTACATTTCTGCTACAAGACCAACCGGTTAAGGCTGTTTAAGGGAAGATGTTGTTAATCGTTGGGAACTGCATGAAATATAGAAACACAATCCGTGGGCGGATTATCTTACAGCAGGAGGTACGTGTAGAACTACTGGGATTTACACGGTTAATGTGGACGAATCTGTGGTCTGCTTCAAGTAAGAATCCCAGTGAGTACCTACAGTGACTGAGGAAAATTCCCAATAGGACAACCGGCCTCCACACATAACGTAGACGAACATTAAGAACCCTTGAGGTGGCTTTGGGGAGGTAAGGTTACATTTCATTTCCTTTGTCATTTTAAATTTTGTACCATGCTGAGCAGAAAAGTTGCAGATTTTACCTACCTGTTTTGTTGTTTTAATAACGGGGCTTTGAATCTTAACATTCAAATTCTACTACGTCATTCTTACCTCTAGAAAGGAAACGTTTAATTCGCAACTCGTTCTATCCGGAAATACAGTTTTGACGCTATGCGAGACGGAACTAAAAATGCTTGGATTAGATTCTGTGGAACTGAATAATTGACAACGAACACTCATGCACAATACTCATGCAATATTGTTAATGTGATGTAATCATTCTCTCGTGATTGGCTTCTTCCTTTGTTGTCATAGATTACGTAATACTTGGGCATATAATACAGACATTACTCATGTATGTTGCCTAGGAAACAGTTCTTTTGTTTCATGAAAGCCCTGTGATAGTTTGTCACGACACTACTGTTGTAAATGCCTGAAATCCAGATTTTGGCGTCGTCTGCCCTCTGCCAGCGAAGCAGGGAAACTGCATGACTACGCGGGAAGACAGATCAATACGAAGCCGGGAAGAGGGACGAGGGGCCCGGGTTCGAGCGTGCACTGAATGGAGCGCCACGCCCCCCACGTGGCGGCCATGTGGCTCACTCACCTGCCAATCTGAGAGCGGACATTCTCTGGAACTCCGGCTCCTGAAGCCACTTCCACATGCGACGGAAAGTCTCCCGACCGGATTTCAGCTTTGACCAGGGCTTGGGGTTGCGCAGCAGGTCCGACAGCGTGCCCTGAGAACGGCAGAGCACTCGCTGGGCGAAGATAGCTTGCGGGATGCTGTACCTCTTTAGTTCCGCGCTGATTCTCTGGGCCAGCTCTTTCGTGTTGATCTCTTCCACCTCGGCTGTCCCTGCCGGCGCACCAGCCCCCACCCCCACGCCACCGCTGGAGACCAGTCCGCCGCCTCCGCCGCCCCCGCTGGAGGTGGGCACGGTCTTCACGGCTACCGGGGTCGGCGGAGGCGGTTGCTGCGGTTGAGGCACAAAGCTCGGCGGTGACGGGGAGGCCACGACGACGGCTTCCCGCTGGATCTGCTGGGCCACCAGAGAAGGCGGCGAATGATGTGGAGAGACTACGGCGGCGTGAGGGGTGATGGTCGTCAAGCCGTTGATGGTAGGGAGGCTGGCGGCGGCGAGTGAGGTGGCGGTGCCCCCGAAACTCGTCACGATGGTGTTCGGGGGCGAGTGGAGCGAAGCTGACGGGGGGCTGAGGGTCGGACTCTGCGGAGCCACGAGGGTTGCCCGCCCCACGAGGTCGCGCTGGGTGTAGGGCGAATCGTAGCTGTTGGGCGACATGCTCTTCTGCGGTGAATGAAGCCCGTTCTGGCTGTACGAGCTCTGAGGAGACAGGGGCGAGTGCTGCTGTGGGATGCTGATGCTCCCAAGACCGCTGTTAGGCGATGAGTAGTGGTGAGGGGGCGACATGCCCATTGAGGGCAGTTTGTCGTAGCTGTAGGGCGAGTTGACACCCATGCCGAGTCCGATGTTGCCGAGCCCGTTGTTCTGCATCACCGTGAAGGATCCTGACACGTTACTCGCGTGGCCGTACGCAAATTTGTCCGACATAGTGGATATGGGGGGAAGGGGTTGTAATGGGGTAAGGGTAGCGTAGGAGGAGCTAGGACTAAAGCCGGGGGGTGACATCCTGCCATTCACCGAGGTCAGTGTCTGGTACGTGGGTTCGGGCTGAAGGGAACGAAAATCCGTGGCATCAATCATACTGGCAACACTCACCGAGATACCTGAAGTTGGTGAGAGCTTCCCTGGACTTAGGAGTTCCGAGTCATGGGAATCGTCCTGCGCCTGAACTATGACAGAGAGGCTCTCTTGCTTGGTGGTGTCGCTTGTCACACTAACGGCACCTTCTGCAGACAAGTCCTCGGCACTGGTGGGTAGTTCCTCTTTGATTTGGATGTGACCCTGTTCGGCTCCTGACCCCGACTCCGTGAGTGACTCGTGCGAAGTGGGCACTGACCCGGCCACGGCAGAACGTGAAATAGTGGGGCTCAGCTCCGTGGGCGACATGCTGAGTCCGGCATGCGTAGATGCAGCTGGCGAATCGACCGTCTCGGGTAATGGCTCACTAAGCGACTGCTGTTCGGCCATTTCCCCCATGTTTTCCATCTTCCCGCATAAAGTTTCACGCACAAACGGCACTCACCGAGTCCCCAAACTTCACTCCACACTCTAAGCACAACTATTACATTCACACAAGTCCCTGGTCAAAGACTTTACAACCGGAAAAGTCCCATACACAAAATTTTCACCAACCACCAGACGTCCATGTTTGTATGCTACTCCACGACGCACCCAATTGCGCATGTGACACTGTCGCAGCAAATCAAACACATCGCGCTATTTCTGCCGGTCACAAACTGCACTTCACCCTTTTTAACACGTTAAAGACAACGGTCACTGCAGCATACTAAGTGCAGAATGAAAGAACCAGCTGCTCTGGCAGCCCAGCTGCCGCTCCCCACCAGAAATCAGCCCCTATGCTATTCACCTCAACACACCAGTCGCCAGCTGCGAGTGAAATGGCTCCCGTTTCTACTGCAACTCCTGGACCTCTATTGTCTGACATTTGTAGCGTTCCTCACATGCAATGGCCGAAATTGAGTCTGCGAGGCCAGTCCGGTAGGGTCCCTCTGTGACTGTCCATGGAGACTACAAGTTGTCATGGCTCAATCGCTTCTTTTATTACGAATTTTCAACCTTGTACGATGGAGCACATGGCAATGGCATGGCTATTGATTCAGGGCAGACGAAATTCCGATAATTTTGATGCCTTAAAATCAATAATAATTACCATGTGGCCTCAGAACGGTGAAGCTCGTCTCGCTGGAAGGACACTCGAGTGTATTGCGGATATGTCGGAAGAGTTTGCACTGTTGTCACCTGAAAGGACAAGCAAGACGACTGTGTAGTGTCTAGTGGCTGCCTGTTTCGTCGCTATTTTTCGTGTTGCGTAATGGTGAACTATATAGCTTGGTAGTGACGACAAGGCTTAATATATATAGTTATTCGCTCTCAGTGTGTGTCACATATACATAAATAATACATCGAGGACTCAGTATTTCCAATGGAAATCACATGTTTCTTATTTATGACTTTTTTTTTCAGGTACGAAATTAAAATCCTACTTATGCTTGCGCTACACAGAGTTTGTGATCTATGAATTATTCTTGTGTCAGGTGTTGAGTGTGTAGTCCAGTGAATAACTAAATTATCATCATACAGTGTAGTCTTCATGGCAACTTGTAGTGACCTACACACAACAAATCATGTCAGAACGTATAAAGAGTTCACAATATAATTCGTAAGAAAGTTTCAACCAAAGGTCAGGGTAACGGTTCCTTAAAATTGTTGTTCTTACGTAAAATTTGTGTTTGTGTTTTAATAACCGTCATTACTGAGTAACTGGACCCATTTTGAATATGAATTACGGTTCAGTTAGAAACTACACACAAAGTGGACTAAGCAGGAAGCTACCCTGTAACCAGACGTAGATATTTCTTTTCTTAAAATGTCGAGAACAAGTTAATGTTAATGTTAAGGATATTTTATCAGTATCACATGCACGTTTTATGTTACCAGTTACAGGGGTGGGGAACAGTCACTGAAATCCTTTACAGACAAGTCACAAGAAGTGTAAATATCAAAAGAAGAAGGGAGTGCAATTCCTTCGTCCAATTCGAAGTATGCAACTAAAAATAAAAATTAAAATATATATTTTGTTGGTTTTATATTGCAACGATAGGAATTAGGCACTTAAAACTATGTAATTTTATGACATAAACTTTATTAACCTCGTCAGTTGTTACGAAAATGGCGATTCATCAATATTTCATTTACCTTATAAACAATGAAACAAAATTAAATTTTTAAAAGTACATATATTAAATATTTCCTAAAAACATCAATTATATGGAGTGTTTTAATTATGGACGTCAGGTATACAGGAATCAAAGCTTAATTACATGAAGAACAGCCTGCATAACACTAGAAAAAATTAATCTCTTCAGATCTAGTCAATATATACATGCAAGCAATTGCATAAAAGTTAAGTTGGCAACAGTTGATTTGTAATGCGCTTGTCAGTTGCTGCCACTTGCAGTGTGACATATTTGGGTATTCAGGAAAAAATAGGCGGACATTTATATGGTATTATAATTAATTCAGTTGTACATTTCTTTGACAAATAATATTACCCATGAAACTGCTGACAGTTTCACACGGATGGGCAAGCTACAAGCATGTTTCGTAGAGTGTAATTCATGGCTTTGTCCCCAAATGCTAATGAAAATATTTGTTTAGATATATCGCAAGAGAAACCTTTACGAAAATCGCCCATCTGACAGTAAAATATTTCACTGTTCCACCGTTGCACAGAACTGGTAGTAACATCACTGATATTAAGTCTTGTGAAAAACTGACAGTCACTCAGCCTGCCAATAAATTTCGTGACTTTAGGAACACGAAATTTCATACCGTGTCCACAAAGCTCGCAATCTAATCCACATCTTTATACCAGATTAACTTAAATTTTAATATTATTATCTAGTCAACGTCTAGTGTCGATCACAGTGGCCGCGCGGTATAATGCGTGAACCTTCTTCGCCCTCTCGAACACTAGGATCGTGGGTTCGAATCCCACTCGAGGTATGGATGTCTGTGTGCTTTAATTCTGTGTTTGTGTTGTCCTGTGTGTGGATAGCGGCCTTGAGACGGACTGACCCCGTCTAAGGAGTCCTACCGACTGTGTATGGATTAAGAAATATAAAAAGCGGCCAAGGTCCAGAAGGGCTGTAGAGCCATAGATAGATAATCAATGTTCAGACCTTCCATGTGACTTCTTACCTTGAAGTTTCCATACACAATTTCATGTGCAGCTCTTGTTTCTCGTACGTGCTATACGACCTGTCCATCCTATTCTTGTTGATTTAATCACTTCCGCAAAATTAAATGGCAAACACAAATTATTAAAAAACTTATTATGAAGTTTTCTCTGTCCTTCCATTACTTCTTCTCTTCTAGGTTCATATATTCGTATTTACCTTATGTGCAAACGCTCTTAGTGGCTCTGGCTTACAGAGCAGACGTGAATGTAAAATCTAAACAGGAGAATAAATAAGCTGTTCTTACCGGCGTGTTGAAACACGTGACTGCAAGGGAAACGTTCGAAACCGGATAATTAGGCCTGGAGGCTAACGTTCCCAAAAGAAGAGTTCATTATTATCATACTCTGATTTTGATGATAGGTCCAAACGATTTTATAAAGAGGATTTCCAGAAAAAAACAGTCTTCAAATGAAAAAAAAGGTCCATTTGTTTCGATGGTCATTTTAGAGAAATTTGCATGCAATGTATGAAAAAATTTGCAGGAAAATACAGATGGGGATATGAGAAACTGTAGTGGCTTATTTTAAAGTACCATGTCAGAAATTTTGGGGGGATGCTGTGGAAAATTCATGCAAAATTAATCAAGCGTGCACGAACCGACCGGACCCGAAATGTGCACATCCCAACATTTCAGATACATCTTCACTAAAGCGAATAATTTATTTTTCCGTTGATCCATTTCGAATTCTGAACGGCATCCTTTATGTTTACAAAGTACGGCCCTGTAACAAGCATAATGAGATTGAAGCTAAGGATGAGTGCATATTAGACACAGGAATATTATGGACCTGAATATTCAGCTTCACGTTCCGGCCGCTTTACGAATATGAAGATAGTATGCAGTACCCATTCAATAGGATGCTGGGTAGGACAGCTGCCCCATTCTGTACATAGCCGTTAAGATGAACAGTTCCTCTGAGCACCTCAGAATTTCCATCCGGCTATCCGGCTAGACACTAATGGCGATCCTAACGGCTGTGGTGGTGGCGGTGGTGATAATGATATT